CGGAACATCTCCTCGGAGCACTCCAGGGCAGCCTTTAACTTTCACGAACTCGAGGTGAGGGCCGCTTTCTCCTGTTCCAATTCTTTGATGCGGTCAGGATCCTCCCCTTCCTCGGACAGCACAACGGCCATTTCAGCCATCTTCACCAGCCCGGCCATATTGGCGGCCAGGTGCCTCCTCCGGTCCTCCTTGCTCATCCTCCTGATGGCCTCAGCCTCATCGGCAATCACGGACAAAGGGAACCCCTCAAATAAACCCTCCTCTTTGAAGCAAGGGGGCAACCCGAAGGACCTTACGGCGCTGGAATCCTCGCCGACCGCCGGCCCACTTTCCACCCAGTTCCTTTTCCTTGGTATCAGGTCGACATGTGGCTTGACCTCCTGGACCTCCGGGGTCTCTTCCGAAGCAGCCCCCGAGCTAGGCGGCGAATCCACCCTCACCGCATGGGAAGCGCCCGGACTATGCGGCGGGCCCATCCTCGTTGCTTGAGGAGCTTTCACCACCCTCTTGTTCGTCCTCCGGTCACAGGACAACTTCAAGAGCCTCTCTCGTCGTTCGGCCATCGAACCTGCACGAAAAGAAAAGTCGGGTTAGTGCCGAGCAAATAAGCAAACAAATGACGAGCAAAGAAATTCAAACAATAAGGATGCCATAAAGGATGATGTCAAAGAGTATGTATTGGTCCACAAAAAAATGTGTGGTTCAAAAAGAATGGTGGAAAAAGGATGGTGGTCAATTGCCAAGAGGGGTGTAAATTCTACATGAGGTTTAGTAAGAGGCTTGGGAATCAATTTTTGCAAATTACTAGTTTGTTTAATGAGCATACTTGTACTAGGTCTACAAGCAACAAACAAGCCAAGACTGGATGGTTGGCAAAGCAATTTTCCCATATTCTTAGACACACTCCAAACATGAAACCAAGTGGGTTAATAGTTGTAGAAATTGAAAGATGGGGTGTTAAGATGTCAAGTGGTCAGGCTTACAGAGCTAAGAGAAAATCAGTTGGATTGATACAAGGTGCTGGGAGGGATCAGTTTACACATCTAAGGAGTTATGCGCAAGAATTATTGAATTCAAACCCTAACACCAGCGTTATATTATAGTGTTGTGATTCAATAAATGGTCCTGTGTTTGAAAGGATATATGTGTTTCTACAAGCATGTAAGTTTGGATTTGCTAAAAGTTGCAGACCGTTAATAGGGTTGGATGCATGCTTTCTGAAAGGTGACTATGGGGGACAATTAATGGCAGCTGTTGGAAGTGATAGAAATAACCAAATATTTCGAATTGCATATGTTGTTGTAGAAGCTGAGACTAAGGATTCTTGGGAGTGGTTCATAAAACTTCTCCTTAAAGACTTGCAGTCAATTAACAATATTCCATATGCCTTTGTCTCAGATCAGCAAAATGTAACCATGCTCCACTAACTTCTAATATGTTTACTCTGTTGGATTATTATGTTTACTCTATTAGCATATCATGTTAAATTCCTGTAATGTGTTTATCTTATCAGGGACTTGTTCCAGCTGTTCAAGGTGTAAGTGAACATGTTGAGCAAAGGCTTTTTGTAAAGCACTTATATGGAATTTGGAAGAAGAAATTTTCCGGGTTAGTTTTGAAAGAGATTTTTTAAAGTGCAGCTAGGGCTACTACCATTCCAGAATGGGGGGAGCAATGATTAGGCTTAAAGTTGCGGATCCTGATGCATGGAAAGATATCATGGAAGTGCCTGCAAAATTTTGGTCAAGATCACATTTCAAGACATTTGTTAAGTGTGATATTCAAGTCAATAACATGTGCGAGGAATTTAACAAAGCTATATTGGAGCACAGGGACAAACCAATAATTACTTTGTTGTAGGTAATTAAGCATTATCTCACTAAAAGGATTACAAGTCAGAAAGAGATGATTTAGAGGTATCCTGAAGATATATGTCCAAATATCCAATTAATTCTTGAAAAGAACAAGAAGTATGCTCATGGTTGGACCCCCACCTGGCATGGTGATGATGATATGGCAATATTGTGAGTCACAAATGGGAAAAAACTTTTTTTATCAATCTCAAAGAAGGTACTTGTTCATGTAGAAGTTGATGTTGACTAGGATTCCTTGCATACATGTTATCACTTGTATGTGGTAAATCAAGAAATCTCCGGAAGAATATGTTGATGGCTATTACAAGTATGTATCACTTCTATGTCTTGTTACTTTCATTTGTAATTATTTTTTATGGCTTTTATTGATAATTTTGTATTCTGGCTGTAATATGTAATTTTGTGCAGGAAATCTAAGTATTTAGAATGTTATGCCAACATCATCTATCCAACTAATGGACCACAACTGTGACCTGTTGTGGATGGACAAATGGCAGTCAATCCACCATTTATGAGAAGGGCAATTGGACACTCCAAAAAGATGAGGAGTAAGTCAAATGATGAGCCAAGAAATCCACATGTGCTGCCAAGGACTTTAGAGACGGTGACATGCAAAAAATATGGAGGGGTTGGTCATAACATAAGAAGTTGCAAAGGCAAAAGAGTTGCAGATAGAGCCATACCTGTTGGTGGGAACAAGAAGGAAAAGACCAAGGACAGGGACAAGGTAAAGGCAAAAACAAAGACTAAGACAGAGGAAAATGCAAAAACAAATACAAAGGCAAAGACTAAGACAAAGGCAAAGGTAAAGACTAAGACTAAGGTTGTAACTGAAATTGATACATCATCTCAGGGTCCTCCTGTTACACAACCAACTCAAGAGTAGTTATAGTACATGATTATAATGTTAAGTGTTTTGTAAAGTCATGAACAAGTTCCTGTTATGAACTTATGTCATCTTATTTTGGTATTCTGTCATTAAGTTATGTTCTGCTTATGAATCATGTTAACTTGCCTTGTAAAAACAAGCTAATGAATCTAATGAAGTTGTTATTTTGATTATGAGTTATGATTTCATTTATGTTTCTTTGTTCAATCCACCAATTATAATCATTACAATTAACTTCAAACTAGTACAAGGTTAACAAAAAACAACAACTCCATTTCATTTCAAACCAACAAATACACTCAACTTGATTACAACTATCCAACATCTGTCAACACTAATCTTAAGTTGACAACAACAACTTAAGCCCAAGTATACACCAATTGATAACACTACTTCATTACAGTTGATAACATTAATCCTATTGCAAAAACAAATGTTATTGAAACAGAGAATTTCATCATTAAGTTCATTGAATTCAACTTTGTCTTCACTTCAGCTACTTTGATATTAGCTTCATCTACTTTTTCCTTTTCTCGATCCAGCTTTTTTTTAGTGAAGTGATAATGTCCTTAGCTCTTGAAGACATTTCATCATCATACCAAATAAAATGGTTACAAATTTTATAACCTTGTACCTGTAAGTAAAACAACACAGATGAATGAATCTACGCCCAAACATGGAAGACCCACACCCAAAAAAACCTGTAAATAAGACATGGACGACATTAACTTATACATCCCACACCCAAAAAAACATCTATCTGGGTTGGAATCGGTCCATGAAGTCATCAATAGAGCTTTAAGCCCACACTGGCACTCGCTTCAAAAATGACATGAACGCGTAACTCTGACACTACTAGCTTTCGTGCATTGAGACATCTTTAATACACGATAGTGCAAAACGAAAAGGGAAGAAAAAGAACTATGGAAGACGGTTGACTGAAACGTACACGAAGGAGGAAAAAGAACTGTGAAAGATTTGCAACGAAGAAGAAGAATGGAAGATTTGCAACGAAGAAGACGTTGAGGGCACAAAATTAGGACCTAGGTTTAATCTTATTATATTCAATATAATTATATAAATTGTTTTTAGAAAAATTAAAAATTAAAAATTAAAAATTTAAATGAAATGGCTTGTGACTGGGTTCATATTGGAGTGTCATGTCATTAAAATATGAGACAAATGACCAAGGACCAACACAAATTCACCAAAAATGAAATAGAGGGCCTAATAGCTGATTTTTTTTAGAGGACTAAAAAGTTAGGAAACTGATTATAGGAGGACTAAAAGTGTATTTAAGCTTTTTAAATATACTCTAAATTACACTTGATTGGATAAATATGAGAAAAATATTCAAAATATTTAGTTTAATTTTTTTAATAATCATTTTATTTATTATTTTTGGTAAAAAAAAAGCAGAGTTTCGGAAAGAAATAACTTTTTTCTTTTATGAATAAATTTATTTTAAAAGATATCATTTAATTTTAATAATTTAATAATATTCTTTTTTATAATACTATATTACTTTTTAATGGGATAATACAATTTATAAAAATATATATTATAATATAAATTTATTTATTTTTAAGTTTAAATTTTAATGTTTATAAATAAAAATATATGAAAAAACAATTTCCTTGTTGAAAATTTGTATTTGAATAACCATTTGTTATGACTTGTTCACCACATTGATAAGTTTAAAAATATTATATTACATTTTATTATTTATAAAATAAATTATATTATTTTTAAAAAAAAAAGTAAATTCAATGATACATACAGTTCAAAAAGTGGACAGAGTATTTTGAGATTTTGATAAATAAGGATAAGAAGAATTTATGAACGTTTTGAAGAAGAAAAAACTAACAACAGTTTCTTTGTCTGGTTATGTTGTTTATAGTTTGCCCCCTGTTTTTTCTGTATTTGAATCAGCAAAAAGAATTCACCTTTTGCATTGTGATTCTTTGCCAGTTGGTGGTGAAGTGAAAGTACGCATGTAGGCTTCAATTTTGAATGAATTGGGTATTGAAATAGAAAAATAATACCCTTTTTGAGAATTATAGATGACAATCATTGAAATTGGTAAAACCTAACTGAAATGGAAAAGGTGAATAAAAAGGAAGAATTTTTTTTGCTTTTGTTTTTTTGGAAAAATTTATAAGAATTTTTTTACTACTTAAAGGGTGTTTGAGGAATCATTTTTTTGTTTTTATTTTTGGGTTTGAGGTTGTGTCGTGATGGAGGAAGGTCAAAGTAGTTCAAATTCCATACCTCATTTTCTCTCTAAGACTTATGAGATGGTTAGTGATCCTTCAACTGATGCCATTATTTCATGGAGTTGTACCAGTAAGAGTTTCATTGTTTGGAATCAACCTGATTTTTCAAAGGATTTGTTGCCCAAATTCTTTAAGCATAATAACTTCTCAAGTTTCATCAGACAGCTTAACACCTATGTAAGCATATTTAATGTACTTCGTAATTTTCATTCATTCGTTGTTAACTTGATTGGTTCTTTTGTTAATGATGTTTGTTCATTTCCTTTTAATCACTACTACCATTAAAGTTTTTTTATTGATTGAATAAACTGTGTTATGGTTTTTGATTTGATGAGGGCTTTAGAAAAATATGTCGTAATCTCTATAAAATATGTTATAAAAAATATTTATATTTATTTAATATTTTGTTTTAGAAATAACATATACACATAAACTTATATTAAAATCTCTTTTTATTAAAAATATTTTTATTGATTGAATAAAATGTGTTATGGTTTTTGGTTTGATTAGGGTTTTAGAAAAGTTGATCAAGAACAATGGGAATTCGCAAATGAATATTTCATAAGAGATCAACCACATCTTATGAATAATATCCACAGGCGCAAACCAGTTCATAGCCATTCTCTGACTAATGCTCATGACCAACAGGCAGCAACTGATGGTGCTAGTGCTGCTCCATTAACAGACTCAGAACGGTGGAATTTGAAAGCCGAGATAGAAAAACTTAAACATGAGAAAGCACAACTGCTTATGGAATTTCAGATACAAGAAGAGGAGTGGAAACAGAATGAGATGCAGTTACATGACTCAAAGGATCGTTTGCAAAAGTTGGAAGTGAATCAACAAAGTATGATCTCTTCTGTTGGTCAAGTGCTGCAGAAATCGAGTGAAGAGGTAGGTCTCCAGTCAGTAACGGTAAACTCGGGGAGAAAACGAACATGTCTGAGAAATAATCTCTTCAATAATTTAGCTACCATTGAAATTCCTTTGAAAACTTCTCAAGTGTCATCTAGAGGAAAGGATGAGAGTGTGTCTGTTCTCTCTATAAACATGGAACGATTGAATCTGCTGGAATCATCGTTGACGTTTTGGGAGAATATTGTAAATGATGTTAGCGACGTATATTTTCAAACTCATTCAAACTTAAACCTTGATGATTCTTTGAATTGTGGACCTGATCCAATAATTTCTTATGTGCAACAAGAATCTCAAGTTCATCTCGAGTCACCACGAAACAATATGAACTCTCTACAAGATTTAGTCGCTATTCCTAATCCTGGCCCTGTTGCACCTGAGCCAGCTGTTAATCCTGTTATTGATGCTCCTAACCCTGTTGCACCGAAAGAACAACCTGTCGCAACAACACCGGTTACTACTGGATATAATTCACCATTTTGGGAAAAATACTTGGTGGAAAATCCTGATTTAGATGAATCAGAAAATCTTAGTGAGCTTAGCAAATTTTGCTGGAGCCGTAATAATAAATAACACTCTCAAATTCATCAAGCATACAAAATTTTGTGAAAAACACCCTCAAATGTTTATTATATATGTCACAAGATGATGTTGATTTATATTTTCTTTTTTTTGGGTGCATGAGATCTCCATAATCTCTTTCTTGTTCGTTTCAATAATATCCTCGTGGAAGAATTTGCATATTGTAGATGTTATTATTTTTTTGTTTATCATATATATTCTAAATTATTTTTAGAGTGAAGAACTATTTTAATTCCTCATAAAAGTTACATAATTCAAATTAATCCCTCACAATAATAATATTTTATTTAATTTTTTACAAATTTAACAGAACATATTAATCTTTTTGTCAATATAGTAGTATTAAGCAATTCTCTATTTAAAACAAAAAATACAAAACTTATATGCATGGACTCACAAATCCAACTCCCTTTCAAGTTAAATAGCACTCTCTTCACAACTAAATCAATTCTTGTTAATATTTGTAATGATGATTACTTAATTTAATAATTGAGAATAAATATTTACCTATTTATTTATTTTAAATAACACACAAATGAATATTTACTTAATTCAAATAATACACAAATTTAAAAATAGAATAAATAAAATAAAAATCCTCAATATAATTAATTAAATAGAATTAAATTAAATAATATTTAATTGAAATTAAATAATGCACAAACAATATTTATTTATTTAAAATTAATAAAAATTAAATAAATAAGTAATTAATTTACTAGTAATTCACTTGATTGTTAAATTATTTAATTAATTCAAACTAAATAGTAATTAATTAATTTTTATTAATTTTATTTTTAAAGTGTGTATTATTTGAAATTAATAAATATTTATTTGTGTGTTATTTGAAATAAGCAAATGTTTATTCAGAATTATTAAGTTAAATATTCATCATTAGAAATATTAACAATTAATAGAAATTGATTTGTATAGTTGGAAAATAACTATCAATTTTTTTTGAAAAATAACTATCATTTAACTTGAACTAACTTATATTTTATATTTTTTGTTTTAAATTAAAAATTATTTATTATTACTAGAAATCATGCATTACAAGAAAAAGAGCTCCCATAAATTAGTGACGCACGTCGCAAAAAACATCATTTGCGACGTGTTTATCACGTCACTACAACTTTTAAATATTAAAATAATAAGTTACAAAAAGAGGAGTTAGATTTTTAAAATAAAAAAGATTGTGGCGTGTAAATCACGTCACAACAAAATTGTTAAAATAAAAAATTAAAACATTGTGGCTTTCTGAAGGAGAAATTTTAAAAAGTATGTTGTGATGTATTTTTCACGTTGCAAACTTTTTAGGAGGAAAACTGACGATATTGAAGTGATTGCGTTCTGAACGGCCTGCAAGTTGACCGACTCAAATTATGACTATTGGTGTTTGTGACGTGATTTTCATGTGACAAAGTTGCGACGTGAAAAATCACGTCACTAGTTTAATTATATATTTCTAATTTCTTTTCTTCCAAAAAATCACATTACTTTAATTATGATTGTTGGTGTTTGTGACGTAATTTTCACGTGACAAAGTTGCGACGTGAAAATTAGTCACTACTTTAATTCTATATTTCCAATTTCGTTTCTTCAAGAACTCATCTTCTTGTCTTCTCTCTTCTTCTCAAACCCATAACTCTATCATTCTCTTCTTCTTCCGGCCACCACCTTATTCATTCTCTTCTTCCTCCACCCAATTTCATTCAATCTTCAAAGATACAAATCTCTTTCTTGTTTTTTTTTTTAAAATTAATAACTAATTTCTGATTATATATTATGATTTTCGTTTTTAAGGTGTATTTTTTTCAAACTTCAAGAATCCAACAAGTTTGATTCAAGCTTCATAAAGGAATTTTTGCAATTTAATTTTTTTTTTATGTTTTCAAATTTTTATATGTATTATTGGGTTGTTTGTTGTTGAATGTTAATGTTTAGTTAAAAATTATTTTTATGTTATAATTTTTATGTTATATTTTTAATATATATGAAATCCGAAAATATATATATAAAAAAAAATAAAAACTATTATATATATATATATATATATATATATATATATATATATATATATATATATATATATATATATATATATATATATATATATATATATATATATATATATATATATATATATATATATATATATATATATATATATATATATATATATATATATTTATATAAAACTGTTTTAATATATATAATAAAAACAATATATATTTTATGTTACAATTTTTAAAAATAGAATATTAATATGTATGTAATAATTGTATGTAATATGTTATATGATTGTGATATGTTTATAGTATATGTTATATGTTTGACATATGTTTATTTTAAAATAGTATTAATTTACTTAGTATTATTGGTTCCATTATTTAGTATAAATTAATATATTAATAGTTTCAGATTTTTTTTTTTTAAATTTAATTAGTGACGTGATTTTCATGTCACATTTGTGAGATGAAAATCACGTCGCAAACTATTGATTTTAGATTATTATTAGTGACGTGATTTTCATATCACAAATTTGTGATATGAAAATCATGTGGCAAAAGTCCTATCATTTATGACTCAACATCTGCTATGTCTGCTTCTAATTCAATATTGTAGATAACTGTACAAAATGTTGTAACGTGATTTTCACGTCACAACTTTGTGACATGAAAATCACGTCACAAATAAGTTGTCACACACTCTCATGCGCCGTATTCAGTCACGTCGTAAAAAAGTTCTTGTGACGTGATTTTAACTATAGTGACGGGATATTCACGTTGCAAATGAGCTTGTTTTTTGTAGTGACGAGAATTATTTGTATGAATATATATTGGTCTAGTCTTAAAGACATAAGATTGGTTTAAAGGTCTTGCGTTATATTCCTTATAAGAAACAAATTTGGCTTTTTTTGATATTATTAATTCAAAATTATTTAAAAATAAAATTTAAAAAAAAGTATTTAAATAATAAAAAATAAAAAAATAAAATTCAGCTTGGTAGTCCAGTCACGTTTAAAAGTAAAAATAAAAAATGATTTAAGAAAAATATTGACAAAAGGACTAATTTGTTAGAACAAGATTTGAATTCTACAATTAATCTCTAGATTTTAATGATAACAATACATATATTTTATATGTAAACAATTTTGTTTCTAATAAGTTTCTTGAGTGTGCAGATTAGATATTCTAAATTGATTTAGGACTGCGGTCTGAAGAATCACCAGAAAGCACGCATCATAAAGACTATTGCATCCGCTTTTGAAGAAACATTAGTAGTTCTGAAAAATACTGAATGTTCGTCAGAAAGAAGATCTTAACTTGTAATTCTCAATAAGTTGTTGCTTCATAAGTCATAAAAGAAGAAATAATTTATTTTAGAGTTGTTGTTCAAAGATCAGAAAATAAGATTGCACCAGAAACAAGATTTCTGTTAGAGCTGCTGCTCAAAGATCAGAAAACAGGATTACACCAGAAACAAGCTCTTTACTTCAAAGATCAGAAGTCAAGATTTGTTTGTCAGAGGAGTTGTTTCTCATAAATGTGAAGTCAAAGTCAAAGTTCTGAACACATCAAAAGAAAGCTTCAACCTCAGATTCAGAAGTCAAGATTTGTTCATCAGAAAAGTTGTTGCTTCTAATTCTGAAGACAAAGTCAAGATTCTGAAGACTCGAAAACTTTGTGGAATATGCGTACATCACTTCACATCATAAAGCATTCCATAAAAAGACAAATCATGGAAAGTTTGATCTTCTGGACTCATTACTATTCTACATCATATAGTCCATCAGAAGACAAGATCAAAGATGATATCTTCTCAAGGCAATCTACTTTATCAGAAGAAATATTCATCAGAAGACAATATCATTAGAAACGAGCACTAGAAGAGATAATACAATAGTACAATTACACATTTCACTCAAATGGATGTACTATGTACTGTTTGTCTCCCACGATCATTTATTATCGTTATGGTAGCTAGAAATGAAAGTGACATGTGTAATACTACAATGGTCTACTTCTTCAACGCCTATATAAAGGCTCAAGCAACTCATTTGCAAATTGATGAATTGACGAAAGGAGAACTACAACACAAGAAAAATAATTATGCCAAAATCAATACTTGAAGATAAAAGCAAGAAAAAGAAGAAGATCAAAACACAAGAGGTATTGCTCATTATTGTGTTGATATTATTATTTGCTTGAAAACAAGAGTTGTTGCTCATTACTGTGTTGATATCACTATTGGTTACTGTGATCGGTGGATCTGGAACTGACTGTTTAACGCTGGTTCGCGAAATGTCGCGGAAGCAAGAGTCGCCACCGTCTTTTATTTTCTCCAAATGGAAAGGACAAAAGCACAGAAAAATTCCTTAAAGAGATTGCTCTCGGTTCGGGAGGTAGGTTATAGAAAGGGAAGGTGTTAGCACCCTTTCTATCCATGGTTATCCATGGGCTCTTAGGTACTTGCTCAATGTGTTTTCAAAATGGTTTGCTTGCTTTTCAATGTGGGTTTTAAAAAAGTTTCTTTTGAAAAATTTCAGATCGACTCGTACGTCAGAGTGTTTGAAAAGTTTGTTTTGAAAGCTTTTGAAAATGTGTTTGTGAAAAGTATGTTTTGATTAGAGCAAGTATCCTTGAGAACCTACCTACCCTAAGGAATTCATCTGTGTAAATGTCCTTTAAAGTAGTGCCATCCCACCATTGAGAGGTAGGCAGCACCACCGTTGGAGGTGTTCGGGTCAATTCGATTTTTAGGGACATGGTGATCACCAGAGCAATAGGAAGACACCTTAGAAGCTACCCTCATGCCAGGTTCCCGGATCATGAGGACTTACTAAGACATCCTCTACTCGACGATCACCTTTCGAGGCAAGGCAACAGTGAGGCGTACCCTAGGGGTGGTGTGTGCGATTCGTGTGTCGTTTTCAGATATTTGTCTTGTCATGTTTATTTGTGTTCTACGCTTGATTTTAATTAAGACAT